CCCATACGAGGATTTTCAAGGACATCTTGAAGAGGATCATCACAAGGGGCAGAATTACGAACACCCAATCCTTCCCCAAAATGGACAGCTTCACCATCATCTTCTGTAGGAAGATTGTGACCCATAACATTAACTTTCACATTACTATCATTAGCTACCACACGAAGCCAGCACCATTGTACTCCTTTGAATTGTTATCCTTCGCAGGCATCTCTCCAAAATAAGACCCAGAAATCACACGATAAGTAGCACGGGGATCTGGCTTCGAAGCTAGGACATCAGAGACTAAAGACCCAGATCCATATCTGATGATGAATCTTTGATCAAAAATAAAAGGATCATGGCAAGATCCGTCCCCAACACTGAGATGACAGCCACCATCAGAAATGCTTTTAGAAAAGGTTCTATCCTTAAGGGGCTCAGCACCACCAAAACAAAGAGCATTACTATTTTTGCAAAGACGAGAAAGAAGCGCTTGAATATCAGGAGGTTTTCTCTCCAAAGGGAGAGGCATACCAGAAAGGGGTGGGGAAGCCATCAAAGCATCGCAGATCGGTGGAGACACTCTGGTGGCGCAGAATGAAAGGGGTTCTCGCAGAGGATCTCGCACACAGGGGAGCCAGGTTCACTTCGCAGATCCTTTCGCTCGCAGCAGATCAGCCTCTCGCTCAAGGTCAGCCTTCGCAGCCTCTCGCTCAAGGTCAGCCTTCGCAGCCTCTCGCTCAGCCTCTCGCGCCAGCCTCTCGCTCAGCCTCTCGCGCCAGCCTCTCGCTCAGCCTCTCGTGCCAGCCTCTACCTCAGCCTCTCGTGCCAGCCGCTCAGCCTCTCGCGCAGCCTCTCGCTCAGCCACCAGCACCTAGCAGCCTCTCGCATAGCCTCTCACAGATCCTCTCGTGCAGAGCCTCTCGCAGATCCTCTCACGCAGCCTCTCGCGTAGCCTCTCACAGATCCTCTCGTGCAGAGGCTCTCGCAGATCTTCTCACGCAGCCTCTCGCGTAGCCTCTCGCGCAGCCTCTCGCGCAACCTCTCGCGCAGCCTCTTGCTGTGTACGAAATCCTTGGGGGTAACTTGAGGCAAGGTACGTGTTGTTTCATATTTCGTGCTCTTGTTGCTTCCATTGCTTTCTTATGTAATTTTCAATTTTACATGATGAATGTCGTTTTCTTTTAATGGAATGCAAGTGAGAGGTCTTGCCTATTTCATCAAGTCAAATTGTATTTTGGACACTTGTAAGTGATCCGAATGGCAATACGTATAAAAGAGTAAAACAAATTTTAACCGGTATTGACTTGCCCGGTCACCTAGTTCACCTTTTAATTTTGTCTATCTTGTGATTCAAGTCAAGAGTATTGGTTTCCATACACTCACACTGAGGTCGCAATTCCATGTTTCCCTGGATGAATCGCGATACTTGGAAGATAAGAATCACAATTCCAAATTTCTCAAATCTTGTTCCAAATTTTTTTTTTAATCCTGATTCCTAGAAGTTGGGAATCTAGATTCCATCTCACAAGAATTTGTGATTCATAGGTGCACAAGACAGGGATTCAACATATACGAGACCTTGATCCCAACTTTTAGGAATAGCGAATCAATATTTCTTGAAAGCGAGATCCACAATGTCAAACCTCGGGTTCCACAGATGCATCGAACAACGATCCAACAACATGGGGTTGAAGTTCTAATAACACAGAATCAAGGTTCAAATGCAAAATTTGAGATTTATCAATTTATTAGCAAATTATGATAGTAATGTCTTTTCCAAATAAGTGTCAACCCTTATGATGGTAATGTCTTTTCCAAATAAGTGTCAACCCGAATCTTCAACTTTCATCTTGAGCCTGGTGGCATCAAAGATAAGTACTTAATCAGTTCATCACCCTCCTACAAAATTAGAAATTGTTTCTTACTTCTGATAGATCACGATTTTGAAAGGTTTTTCAATGAAGTGTTGAAGCACATGGTTCTCTAGGAACTCGAGGTCCACACCACAGAAACTCATTTTCAAGTGAAGATGCATATCTTTCTTTCATTATCAAAAGATGCATGAAAAACACAGTTAACTTCATCAAAAAAAAAATGCATGAAAAACACAAACAACACATTGGTTGGTTTCTCACTTTCAATAGACCTCGACATAGAAAGGCTTTTCTATAAAACTTCGAAGCGAACGTTTCTCTACAGGCTAGAGATCCACATCCCAAAGACTATTCTCTAGTTAAAAGATGTAAGTTCCTTATTTTTGTCCTTCAATGAAGCATGAGAAACACATAAAACTTGGAGGAACACCATTCAAGTAGATACCTAAGGGAGCTCGACCTCGTTTTTATTAGTTGCGGAGAGCAATGTTAAAGGACACTCTATACACCGAAGGGAGGGCTATCAAAAACAACGATACGATTATGGAGTCCAGAATTCAAAACTCTCGATAATAATACTTAATATATGGAGTCCAGAATTCAAGCTTATAAATAATTTAAAACCTAAATTTTTCTCGCTTAAAAGTTCTCGTATGATCCCAAGTGCATTGATGCTTAATTTCTGAATGGCAGGGATCTCGATTCCAAATTTGATGGGACAACGATTCCAACAACATAGAAATCATGATTCCTATTTTATCGGTTGCGATTCTGGATAGCATTGATCAGAGTGGATTGATGTGCAACTCCAGAAAGAATATAAATAATATAAAACGTTTAATTTTTCTCGCTTAACTTCTGGCATGGTCCATAGTGGATTGATGCATGATTCCTAAAAGGTAGGGATCTTGATTCCAAATTGATGGGATACCAATTCAACAAGATAGGAAACATGATTCCTATTTTACTAGATCACGATTCTAATATGCATCAACGATTCTGACTATAGGAATCATCAACACCCACGATTCTGCGATTCCAATTCCTTTAATGATTCAGAATCACAAGGCATTCCAACAACTATGGTTTATGCACTGTTCTAGAATTCCTCACTAGGATGTCATTCAGAGAATTTTGAGTTATCTGAAGGGAGCTTCCAGTAGAGGTTTGATTTAGAAGCCAAATAATTATTTGACCATTGAGAGTTACTCTGATGCTAGTCCTGCAGGTTCTCCATTTGACAAGCTGTCTACCATAGGTTATGGTACATTTATTGGTGAAAACATGATAACATTAAAAAGAAAGAAACAAAAGGCCATGGTAAGATATAAAGTAATGGCACACACTACAAGAGAATTGATCTGGGTGAATACACTAATGACTGTGCAGGTTCTCCATCAGACAAGTAGTCTGCCATAGGTTATTGTACATCTATTGGTGTAAAATAAGGTAACATGGAGAAGAAAAAAACAAAAGGTCGTGGTAAGATATAAAGTAATGGCACACACTACGAGTGAAATACACTGATGCAAGAGATGGGGTTCATTACTTTTAAGCCTATGAAGATGTATTGTGATAATAAAGCGACAACCTATATAGCCAGCAATCCAATGTTTCATGAGAGAACTAAGCATATTGAGGTAGACTATCACTTATTCCGGAGAAGGTTACTAGCAAGAAGGCATCTGCTCCAAAATCTGTGAAATCTAGGATCAGCCAGCACTGGCAGACATCTTCACCAAAGCCCTTGGTTGTTATTCTGTAACAAAAAATAATGTTCCAAGCTAGGCATGGGCTGCATTTATGCTCCATCATGAGGAGAGTTGTTAAAAGTTCTTTTATTGGTATTTCTCTTTCATTTATGTTACTATGACCTAATATGTGCTATTTCCAATTTTTATGGTAGTATTGTCATTCTTCATATTCCATTAGTATAAAAAGAGATTTGAGAGGTGTGTGAGGTCTATTGAACTCATATCTCTCTCTCTCTCTCTCTCTCTCTCTNTCTCTTCTCTCTCTCTCTNTCTCTCTCTCGTCTCGTCTC